AAAAAAAAAAAAATTAGCTAGGTGTGGTGGCGGGTGCCTGTAATCCCAGCTACTCAGGAGGCTGAGGCAGGAGAATTGCCTGAACCCAAGACGAGGAGGTTGCAGTGAGCCTAGATTACGCCACTGCATTCCAGCCTGGATGACAAAGCAAGTCTCAAAAAAGCAAGCAAACAAACAAAAAAACCCCATGTGGCTGGAGCTTAGAGTGGTAACTGAAGGTTACCTCTTTGGGGGAGGATTTGCTTCTTTTTTTTTTTTTTTTTTTTTTTTTTTTTTTTTTTTTTTTTTTTTTTGAGACTGAGTCTTACTCTGTTGCCAGGCTAGAGTGCAGTGGCCCAAAGTGCTGAGATTATAGGCCTGAGCCACCGTGCCTGGCTTGGAAGAAAGTCTTTGTTTCTGAGCAGTACCAGGACTAGCAGCCTCAGTAGAACATGTATTCAACCAACATCCTCGTCTTTTTTTCTACATGCTGCTGAGAAAGCTACAACTAACTCTGACCCCATTCCCATCTAGGTGATTGTTTAGAAGCATAAAATTTCCCACCATTAAGTGGTATGCATGTGGTTTGAGGGACACCTCTAGCACCATGCCCCCATCTCTGAACTCCTGCATAGCCCCTAGCTTCGCAGCTCTCCAGTCTAACCTCTTTACTGGTTGTCAGTTCTCTTTTGAAAATGCCACAGCTGTCATTCCTGTTCTAGAAAACTGCCATTTGTTTCTTACTGTCTACAGAATCAAATCCAGACTCCAGAACCTAGACAATAAGACCCACCCCTGGCTGGGCACAGTGGCTCACCTGTAATTCCAGCACTTTGGGAGGCCAAGGTGGGCAGATCACTTGAGCCCAGGCTTTGAGACCAGCCTGGGCAACATGGTGAAACTGTATCTCTATAAAAATACAATTAGCTGTTGTGATAATGTGTGTCTTATAGTCCCAGCTACCTAGGAGGCTGAGGTGGGAGCATCAGCTGAGACCAGGGAGGCCGAGGCTGCAGTGAGCCATCATCATGCCAGTGCATTGAGTCAGGCTGGGTGCTGTGGCTCACGCCTGCAGTCCCAGTACTTTGGGAGGCCAAGGTGGGTGGATGGTTTTCGCCCAAGAGGTCTGTATCAGCCTGGGCAACATGGGAAATTCCTGTCTCTACAAAAAGTATGAAAATTAGCTAGGTATGGTGATGCATGTCTGTAGACCCAGCTACTTGGGAGGCTGAGGTGAGAGGACAAATTGAGCCCAGGAGGATGAGGCTGCAGTGAGCTGTGACTGTGCCACTA